CTACTAAAGAGAGCACTGAAAGTGCCTGAAAAGTTACAGCAGGAGCTCACCTCTGCTACTACCACAAAGGAAATGATCAGTTGCAAGTAAGTGGAAGCCATTTTAAAAACAATTTGTGTTAATATAAAGTTTAAGACCACTAAAGAGAGCACTGAAAGTGCCTGATGAGATAAACATTTTTGTAAGTTTGAGTTTTATATTTAATTGTAAAATATCTTAAATTCAAAGACACATGTTAAAAGTATGTCAGTCTAAGGCTTATCATTTGGATTTTTATATACCTTAGAATTACATGAGGATTGGATTTTAAAGCTAATAACTTTTCTTTATAATTGAAGATATTATTTTTCTTTAGTATGACAGTAATTAGTATAATATTGATATTTTCTCTAAAGTAAAATGTTCAGTAGCTGTTTTATTATAGTACATAAGATCAGTTAACCCTATATGCATGGGTGGGGGTCAATGTGCACATGCCACGATTTTTTACAGAGTGACATTTAACATGGTATTATGTATTTTATGTCAGTTTTCAACAAGTTATTTTATCCTACATTGCTTATTTAGTGATAGTTCGTAGTAGGAGAGAGTAAATACTATATACAGTATGCAGAGATACTGAATAAAAACTGTAGATATTCATTTCAGAGTTTATGCAAATATATACAAGTATATACAAACTGTACGATGGAAAAAGTGTTTTTATTCTTATCATGAATATCCCCTTTGACTCAAACGTGTCAGCATCTGTGTCAGACTGATGTTGTGAATTCACAGACATTTCTTGTACAGATACTTTTGTAACACGTGATTTTTTCTGTACAACAGACTTGTACATTTTATTAAAGGCTTGTCACATTCTGTGTAGATACATTTATTAAACTTGGAATTATAGTCAGTATTCCTTTTCCCAGTACTGGGTCACTCTAATAGACCAATCGTGTGCACATTCAGTCAAGTGAATAGTTTGTGTAATCAATACCTATTTTAACTTTGGTTTGGCACGTTTCTTTAAGTAGGTTTACCAGAAGTGTTTGTAAATGAGTAGGATTCTTATAAAGTATGATGAACACTTGGATTGTATGTCATAATAAAGAACAAAGTTGCCTTGATTGTAGTTTTTATTCATTACAAGAAGATCTGTAATATTTTACTTTTAGATTATTCTTCTAGCAGCTGAAAGTTGTTTAAACTGTGACTGTATAATATTCCTAATTTGTTTTGTGTTGTAGTAAAATAACAAATTTGTTTTTATTCTTTGCCTGATTTTAATTTTGTTTTTTGCAAAAGATGGCATTCATCTAAGGCTGGCAAGATGAATGATGTTATAAAAATAACTCCAGTTTTCTGATAAGTGATGAATTATTTAAAGAATATATATATAAAGTTAGATATGTTAAATATAAACCTCTCTTTAAGGGTACTTTTATAAGTTTGTTAATAGTTTATAACTTCATTTAACAATTGACTCGCAGGTTGGTGTGGAAGTGGAAACAAACCTGAGATTAGGTGAAAGTGTTGCAACGATTGGCTATCAGATTGATTTACCCAAGGCCAACCTTGTATTTAAAGGTCAGTTTAAGTTGGAAAATGGTTTATATTAATATTTTAACATACAGTAATATTAGTACACCCATAATTAATCATAATGCCTCCAAATTTATTTGTTACCATATTTAGTTGTTAGCTTAAATTTTCTGATCTGGAAATCCAAAATTATCTTTTCTTCTGTCTTTTTCTTTCATTTATTTTATATTTTAAGTATAGCAGAATCCTTTGTTAGGTTATTGTATTTTATAAATTATCTATATTAATTTTGTGTGTAAGAGTCAGACAGAAAAGTAGATTAAATAAATTAGAAGAAATATGCATGATTTATGGAAATAACATAAGAACATTTCAGGAGGTTAAAGTTATTCACATTATCTGTTTATATTTTCAGTTAGCTATACACATTACCTTTCAATATTTTGGTAGTGTTAGCAGTACCTTATGATGACAAAACCTTGTCGAAACGTTGTACATTTGCTGTCATGTTAAACTTATATTAAAGTTTTTCTTCATTACCCATTTAAGCCGTCTCCAGCCATTATTAGTCTCAAAGTGGGTTCCTCGTCATCGAATTTGTGTTAATATAAAGTTTAAGACCACTAAAAAGAGCACTGAAAGTGCCTGAAAAGTTACAGCAGGAGCTCACCTCTGCTACTATCACAAAAGAAATGATCAGTTGCAAGTAAGTGGAAGCCATTTTAAAAACAATTTGTGTTAATATAAAGTTTAAGACTACTAAAGAGAGCACTGAAAGTGCCTGAAAAGTTACAGCAGGAGCTCACCTCTGCTACTACCACAAAGGAAATGATCAGTTGCAAGTAAGTGGAAGCTGTTTTAAAACAATTTGTGTTAATATAAAGTTTAAGACCACTAAAGAGAGCACTGAAAGTGCCTGAAAATTTACAGCAGGAGCTCACCTCTGCTACTACCACAAAGGAAATGATCAGTTGCAAATAAGTGGAAGCCGTTTTAAAAACAATTTGTGTTAATATAAAGTTTAAGACCACTAAAGAGAGCACTGAAAGTGCCTGAAAATTTACAGCAGGAGCTCACCTCTGCTACTACCACAAAGGAAATGATCAGTTGCAAATAAGTGGAAGCCGTTTTAAAAACAATTTGTGTTAATA